AATATATTCGCGCGTATTATATGCCAAACCATTGAATGAGAGGTTAATTCATGATTTTACTGCAAAAGAAAAAATGTTATTTTGGCTTCTATTTTCTAGTAAGAGTATCCAAAACATCCTGATTCTGTCAGCCATAGTTGCTCCTTTTGCATCCTCCGGTATTCGCCCTGTTGTAAACCGGTTAAACCAGGACACTACAGTGTATTACGGCCTCGTATTTTGCTTGTTCTTTTGACCTTATATGGTAAAATGACATGATAGTGGAATAATAAATGTACGTTTTGGGCTATCTTCCCATGCGCTCTGGATTGTCAATGGCTCCGTCTTTGGAGGAGAACAAGTCTCACTTACTGTCATCTCATTGGCCAATTCCCAAGAGCGCCACGCATAATCAGTCGACCAGTTACAATCCCCGAGACGAAGTCGAGGGGATTATTCAACAATATTAACTGAGCCTGAGGTGAATAATTGTCTTAGTATATTCACACGAAGTGATCTCAACAGAATCAGAAAGGAAACCATTAAAAAACGATTAGTTTGATTGACGGGTGAATTCATGCGTGAACACGAAGCCGTAAACAGTGGGTCTTCAAACATGGCAAATGATAGTTTTAATCTTTTTGTATCGAGTTTTGTGAGCTTTAGCATCAACCGTTTTAAAGACAAAAATTACTACCCAATTCTGAGAAGGAAAGTAGAGCTGCTCTATTTGTTTCTGTCAACTCACCGTGAATTAGAAAGTTTTCTTTGTCGCTTCTTGCAAATGCTGTCAACAGCGGCTACGATCAAGATGAGCGTTGTTTATGTCATTAAGTTCTTTGCCTTGTTAACTTGCTGGCACGTACAGTTTTCGAAAATATTTGCCTTCCTCTTTTCTCCATAAATTAACTTCTATTTATAGGCAAAATTGGTCTTGTGAGAAAATCAGGAAATCACAAAACAGTGACAGAGCGACCTCGTTTTCCTCTGTAGTGGTAAACATAACTTCGAGCACACAAAAAGTCAGCTACAGTAAACTACTTCACAAATAAATCACGCTGTTTAAACACCATGAAGTCTTTCTTGCCTTCAAAGTCATCAGCACTTGGATATTCGTGTATTTTGTAAAAGGCTTTACTCGCTTTACTATGAAGCTTTGGCAAAACACCTAGTTCACGTCAGCGATTTTGCCCTGCTTTATATTCACCGCCTAGCGCGGTAAATATAACGTCATAGTCCGAGATAGCTAACCAATCAGATTGCTTGAATTACCAAGATCACTGAGTGTGTATATACTTAAGGGAGATAGGCGACGACCGGAAATACGTCTGCGGTTCGGAGGCTACTACCAACTATTTGGCTTCACAAATGGAGTAATATTAACGCTAATATCTGGCCACGGCAACGAATCCTGCCTCCACAAATTAAGAGCCGTCGATCGCTGTACGTTGCCTAGTCCCTGGGCCACATTATTCCGCGCGACCAATTCGTTTCGGGTCACGTGGTCCGAGCTTAGAAGTGAGGCCTAGACGAAAATCCTCAAAAGTGAGAAGAAATTGAGACATCCCTTACGGTCGTTTACAAGACCAAAGTTTCGCATTTCAAAGTTAAAAATACACAGCTGAAAGACAAAGATGGGAAGGGTAAGTTCAAAAGAATGCTTAGTTTTCTTTTATTAGACAAAGGAAGGCTTTTCACAAAATTATCCTTCGAGGAATTCGAAATAATCTTCTTGGCGGAGCGCTTGGTCTGCTTTGAAACGCAACCAAGCAGCGAAGTTTTGAAGAGTCACAGGCAAATTTTCTACTCTATAGTCAACCAAACGACGTCTTCAAAAGCAAATTTATGTATTATTTATGTCAATACTTTATGGACGTTTCAGTTGTACATTTTAAGATCGGCTTGAGCGTCCAGACTTGAGATTTGTGTTGAATTTTGCCATCATTGTGCTCAGCTGATTTTTCTTGCGTGAACGGATCCACGAGCCAGTTATTGTTACGCGAATTACTTTTAAAGATCAATTGATGGGTTTTCGAGAAACAATTTCTCTGTCTGTTGTTGTACGGTGTTCTTTCATTGATAACATAACCTCAAAACACGATCCTGAGCACGAGACTACAGCATCCAAGTTGAATTTTAAATACTTTTCACATTGCACGCATCATTTCTACCAAGATGTCGGCAAATTTTGTAGAATTTTTACCTGTAGGTTCAGTTTTTGGGCACTTTTCGATACGCAGCTAATGAATTTTAATTGAAAGTATGTTTTTCTGATTATTCAAGATTTGCACACTAAGTTTACTACGCAGAGGGTCACTAAGGTAACGTTTTGGAAGTGAATAATTTGAACGTCGATAATTGAAGGAGCAGAACTCAATTTTCACAGGACTATGGATGACATTCTGATGACTTTTCGAAGCCGTTCCGCAAAAGTCGATCTTCTATTTCGCAAATATCCACAAGGGTTTTAAAACCCTAATTTCCTGCTGTTTTCAACATCTTGAAGAGCTCCAGAAAGTCTGCCATGCACGCATGCACATTCTGTTTTTGTCAGGGCGTTTCCCGCCTGTTCGTCTCAGATACTTCACCGGAGTGAATTGACCGAGAAGGCCTGGGAGAACACCGTACAGGGACTAGGCAACGCTGTACGCACATGGTACAACTTCGTGAATGCAGCCTCGTCGTAATGTATTAATTGTTGATTATCGAAGAGTCTAGACAACAGACCTTAAACCATTTAATAGCAGCTTGGGGAAAGTGAATGAGGTCCTCATTTACAATAGAAGCCAGATCCGTCAGTCAACACAAAATTACTGTGAGGGAGATCAACTGAACAAAGCACAGCTGCGTACAGTTTGATGTTCAATCTTCTGCTTCTGTATTAATCACACCATGAACGAATTCTTTAAGTGTACCTTTGCTTTCACAAGTAAAACAGTGTTCATAAGTTCTCAATGAGCACAAAAAATAGTTTTTTTGAAGTGCTGCTGTTTCTTGTTTGATGAAACTGAGGCATTATATTATTTCTGCCGCGCTATTAAATCGCGAGTTATGATAAGCTTATGATCACTTTAGAGAGAAGACGCGTTATGTTACGAAAGCAATCGACCACACTTTCTATGGGTTGACCAACGTGATAACCTAAGCGGGCTGTTCGGAGAACACGACCCTAACACACACGTTCCTCATTTCAAACTTCTGACCAACCCCACTAGAGTTTCACACGATAAACCTGACATTTTGGGGAAAAATCTGTCAATTTTCTTGTTTACCTACTACTCATTCCAGATAAAAATTTCCTCCTTTCCTGGGAGATAGCCAGCTAAAATTCATTGGGAAAGAAACACAATGGGCATAAAAGCTGTAATATAAAAAAGAAAGGTCCAGGAAAAAAAGAGAGAAAAGAAAGGTCGAAATAGATTCGCAAAAAAAGCTTATGCGCATGCGCAAAAAACCAGCAAGTTAACTTTATCCAATCCGCGGGAAAATAAATATGCCCTCAGTGTTTCATATATCTCGATTTTCATGCTTATTGGCCAAAAACCCGACCCAAAAGTGGATTTGGTTAAAAAAAAAATGGAGTGGAATAGTTTGGTTTGTTTCACTGTCAATAAAGAAAACGGTAGAGAGCCGACGAAACAACAGCGGAAAGGGAAAAACAGAACGAGACGTAAGCTTTTGTTGTGCTTTTTGTCGGCGCTGCTTTGCCTTTCATTTAAGCTTAAGCTTACATTGAAACCGGCCATTTTACTTAAATTCACTCATTTTCAATTTTGCATTGAGAACAAACAGTTACGATTACTTATAGTTCTTGGATTACCTCATATCCTTACCGTCATTTATGTTTTTAACAAACGTTTTTACGAAAAAGCTCTATGAAGCAAAAGCAACAGTAAAACGCCATTCACACATCGCCGTTTAAAATCGTAAAAACTTTCTAAATTTTATTTTTCCGGCGGTTTTACTACTTACAGAGTCATACATATATTATTTGTGAATACCAAGTGGAAAGTGCTTTGTACGGTATTTACCCACTCGTTGTTTTTGTATCAGAAATCTTACTCGTTCGCTGCGCTCACTCGTTCGATTTCTGATACGTCAACAACTCGTGCGTAAATACCGTACGCCAGCACTTTCCATGAAGTATTCTCTGCTTATGTAATAAAAACAATCGCAATTTCGGTATGGTATAATCTGGAGATGCATCTCAGCATTGACCGTGTTAGGATGCGGTTTTTGTCTTGCAAGAATAGATTATTAGTCGGCAACTGAAGGTTTTAATTTTCTTCGACTAAATTTTCTTAATATCCCCAAGCATGAAATATCAATACATCTCTGTGTTAGAGTTCTGCAAAGTAAAACGTCATACTTAATTCTTAAAGGACCATGGAAAGATTTATGAGTTTCGTTGGTGGTCTGTTTCGCAAAGTTATGTCCTGTCGGGCGAGGTTGGACTAGAACTTGGATGACCGGCTCCGAATTAAATCACCCAAATTGTTAGATATTATATTCCCCGCTGTTTGTTTTTCCACTCTGCATGTTTATAAAACTGAGTTGCAAAAACCAGCAAGTTCGACAATGCGTTCTTTCACAAGAACACAACGGTCTCAGATTGATACCATGCACCATTCATTGGCTCCTGGATCATGCGTAAGTATTCGTTTGAAGTGCCATTAGGCCTCGCCTAGGTAATGAATTTAAAATCGCCAATGTGCAATTTAACATTTCCTGCGAACCCAACTCCCTCCTTCTATTCTCATGCTAAAGATGTTATAATTACTCGCAAAATCCTTAAATCTTCAGTTTGATCTGAAAGGTATCACTCAACGAAAAAAGCTTGTAATATTAACCTTAATCTTGCGTAATCGAATTAGCTCGTTACAATAGACCATTACTTGATACAGGTTTTTTATTTTGCATCATTAGCTCCGTCAGAGATTCTTGCCCGAGGCAGGCTAGCTATTGAAGCCTACAGAAGAGCCCTTTTGGAAGGAAAAGGTTACGCGAGAAGAGTTCCCGTCATGATAATTGGGCAGGCCCGGACAGGGAAAACCAGTCTGAAGAGGTCGTTAAAAGGGGAATTGTTCAATCCAAATGAAGGAAGCACGAAAGGGATAGAGACAGATCCGTCTTATTTTAAAGTCTCGACAGACGTCTGGAGGACAGGCCAGAAAAGCGAAGATATCGAATCAGAGCCAACGTTTTTGTTAGACCACCAGGTAGCCCAGAAGATATGTGAAAGCTTAAGAAAAGGAGACCGTTTCGGGGATCCTAGTACTAGCGGGGCCAAGCCATCAGTTAACGATTCCAGAATAGTCAAGCAAATAGAAGCGAATTCTTTGCCTAATGAACGTTCAGGGGAATCTAGCAGTATCAGGATTGAGCATTCACTTCAAGACTCCAAAGCAGTCGAGAAAGCCAAACCCTATTCATTGCGCACAGAAGATCTGAGCAGTAGCAGACACGCCTCCAATGTATCTGAGAAAGCCCAAACCAGTTCATCACGTACAGAACAGAGCGGGAGTGATCCATCACTTCAAGACTCCAAAGATCATCTGTCTGTACCAGAATTACCAGAAAACGTAGCAGCATTGGTTCAAAATTTGCTTGAACAAAGCCAAGAGTTTGAGGACGAAGACAACATATATTCCATCATTTGGGATTTTGGAGGACAGTCTGTTTACTACGCCACACATCCAATTTTTCTGACAAAACAAGCCATCTACATTTTAGCATGTGATCTGAGTCGTGATCCAGACCAGAAAGCCAAAGCTCCTTCGAAAAAAGGCATATATGAAAATAAATTAGACACTCACTGCAAAAAAACAAATGGCGACTATCTTGACTTCTGGATGACATCAGTTTATTCTTTGGTTGGTCCAAGCACTAACCGTCAGGAAACCCTGTCACCTGAAATGTTGCCTGCAGTATTCTTGGCGTGTACGCATGCTGACATGCCTTACAAAAAAGGTGCTAACCCAAAAGAACTTGCCGAAAAAATCTTTGCCACTTTAAAAGACAAGATTTATGGTGATCTTCTAAAAGACGTGTTTGTTGTAGACAACACAAAGGCAGGTAGTAATGATGAGTGCCAAGACGTGAAAAATCTGAGAGAAACAGTACTTTCTGTTGCCAAGAAGCTTCCACAGATTAAAAAGGCCATTCCTCTAAAGTGGTTAAAGTATGAAAAGGTTCTCCGTCTGTTGAGCGAGAAAGGCTATAGGTGGATACCCATCGAGCACGCCAGACAGATTGCCTCTGATGAGTGTGGAATTGATGACGATGAACAGTTTCGAACACTGCTTAACTTTTTACAGGATCAAAGAATTTTGATTCACTTTAGCGAAACAACAAATTTGGAAAAAATGGTTATTTTGAGCCCACAGTGGCTCATTGACATCTTTAAGGAGGTGATTACTGTCAAACATTTCAAGCAAACGGATGAAAGACTTGAGAGATTATGGTGTGATTTTGAAAAGACTGGAATCTTGGATGAAACACTTTTAAATCATGCGTGGAGACCCTTGTCTGATAATCGAGAAACCCTCGAGAGCCTGATTGCTATAATGGAGAAATTTAGCCTACTTTGTGCATGGCCCTCAGACGGGACCACTCAGAAGTACCTTGTGCCATCCATGTTAATGTCTCCCCCAACAGATGATGTCCTTAAGCACCTTGATTGTGTGCGGACCCCTTCACTTTTTGTGGTGTTTGACTCAGGCAGAGTCCCTCCAGGCTTGTTCTCGCGACTTGTTCTGCAGTTTCATTGGTTGTGTCAAAAAGAGTGGAAGGGCGACATAAATCCTGATTTGTTCAATAATTTTGCCATGTTTCACATTCTTCCTGCTCGTGCAATTTCTGTAGTATTTATGTTGCATTCCTCGTCCATCGAAATAGTTTTTCACGATGGAAAGGATGCTCATGATCTGAATACAAGTCGAACCATTTATTCGCAACTGAAATGTCTTCTTCAACATATTTGCAAGGAGTTCTTCTGGTTGAAGCACGCGAAGTACAAAATGTGCGTTTGCTGTCCGGTATGTTCTCAAGAAGACGGTGTCAAGTGCCGTGATCATGGCAGGCGTGGTTGCGAGTGCGTGCACTTTTTGTCGGAGTCAGAGTTGCGTGAGCGGCAACATTGCAACGAATCTGGCATTTTTGGGGATCGCACAATTACCATCACGATGTTTGAACATTGGTTTTCTTTCTCGGATTCTCAGCAAAGTAACATTCCTCTNGCCATGTTTCACATTCTTCCTGCTCGTGCAATTTCTGTAGTATTTATGTTGCATTCCTCGTCCATCGAAATAGTTTTTCACGATGGAAAGGATGCTCATGATCTGAATACAAGTCGAACCATTTATTCGCAACTGAAATGTCTTCTTCAACATATTTGCAAGGAGTTCTTCTGGTTGAAGCACGCGAAGTACAAAATGTGCGTTTGCTGTCCGGTATGTTCTCAAGAAGACGGTGTCAAGTGCCGTGATCATGGCAGGCGTGGTTGCGAGTGCGTGCACTTTTTGTCGGAGTCAGAGTTGCGTGAGCGGCAACATTGCAACGAATCTGGCATTTTTGGGGATCGCACAATTACCATCACGATGTTTGAACATTGGTTTTCTTTCTCGGATTCTCAGCAAAGTAACATTCCTCTCACTCAGGTTAGTTCTTAAATTCGCTTTTCCAAAACACGATCCCGAGTGGCTCATTCGCCAATCAAGGAACTTTAGGTACAAGCTTTGGTGACGATGGTTTCTGGAATAGTTTGGGTGGATAAACGTTAATGGGTGTTTCTCAAACAGGCCATTTGCTCGATGGCGTCATTTTACTACTACTACTACCACTACCACTACCACTACCACTACTTCAGGGTTTTTCTTTCTTGTGTAATTTTGCTTTCTTGTGTAAATAAGGGCTTCTGTTATTTAAACCTCGCTGGTATGACCAAATTTAAATATGAAAGAAAGAACGAAAATTAATGAATTCTGGTCTTAGTGGTAAAAAGATGTCATCGTGCAAATGGCTTATTGGTTGACCATTCATAACAAATACTTTCACCCAAATGAGTCCAGAAATCCTCTCAACAAAAGCAGTCTCCCTTTAAATTCCCTAAAATAAACTTACCAATAAGAATTCGAGGGTGGTATTGAATAACGTGGAGTTAAAGTTCCCCTGAAGTCCGGTCTTTTGAAGGTGATATTATGACTGGAAGCCACCTTTAAAAGATCCAAAAGCACTCCAGGTTAAGATACATCGAGGCGCGATTCTGAATGGACTCGTAGAAGTGATTGATAGCCCCAAGCATTGTAATGCTCTCATCGAACGATTCCCAGAAGCAGTTGCTTTGGAAGAAGATGGTGAAGGTGAGTTTTTGGCAATAGTGAACTTTTGGTGACCTTGGCCATCAGACCACAGTTGGCAGGATGACTCCAAGTCAGTGAATTGAAATAAATGCCCAACTCCTTTAAATTCCTTGTTAGCAGAATACCTTTCAGTTAATAATTCTATGAATATATTAATTAAATGGAAACTCTAGGATCGTTCAGACTGGATCACTATTTCATATATGCTTTCATTGGCCTTTGAAACTGATCCTAAGGCCCCATTAACATTGACATTATTCTTTAAATTTGTAATAATAACAGTAGTGACGATGATAATAATATTAATGATTAATAATAATAGTAATTTATTATTATTATTATTATTGTTTGGTATTTCGTAATGGATGATTGGCTGGAGGTGCATTACCGAATCCTTAATTAATATTTCCTATGATTTAAAGTCATTTCCTGTATCTGTATTTACAGCAGAAAGATGTGACTCAACGTGACAACAATGAAGAACACCGCATAGCTCCTAAGAAAGGTACACACTCCCCTAATTAATTTGCATTTATTTATTTATTTGCACGACTTTTACAGAACAAAAACAGATACGATGGGGAGGGTCAAATAACAGAGCGACGATCCAATAGACCCTTCCTCGGTTTTTTCAACTTTTTCGTGACTGTAAGGAAAAATCCGTCGACACCACTGGAAAGATGGCCTTAAAATTAGCAAAATTGTCAAGTCTTAAAGTGATGCGTTATAAGCGAGTGATGATACAGCTCCGCAAGGTTGTGAAAATTTACAGACGTTTGCATGGTGGGGGGAGGGGGGGGGGGATTTCCTGCCGTCCACTATATAAATGTCTGTAAAAGAAGAAGAAGCTATATCTTCATTAGTTTTCAACAAATCACTTTCAAACTTGGCAATTTTGCTAATTTAAAGGCGCTCTTTACAGCGCAGTTGACCAATTTTCCCAAACGTGTCCACGTCAAAAATTAAAAAACGTGGAAAGGTTTATTAAAGTGCGCTCTTGAGAACTATTAACACCCCTCTCGACATTGTTGTAAGATCTTGGGAAGAGTTTAAAAAAAACCGTCTAAATTTTGTCATAACCGGAGATCAGGTCGAATCCTGGCAGCTCCCTCTTGGTCCCTGGATTTTTTTTTAAACGTGCGGAATGAAAATATACTCTGAACTCAACTTAACTTTGTCACAAAATCACCATAACATTTTTTTGTCTCCAAATGTTGAACCCGTTAGACAAGAATAATCTTTCTTAACTATTGTTCAATTCGTCCATGCGCAATGTAGCTAATAAACATGTCTTTTCGATAAATGCGATTATTTATTCGTAAGGGCTGAAAGATAATTTTGACTGTTTATTCAGTAACAACATGGTCATTAATCATTTCAACAATATTCATCGTTTTTTTTTTTTTTACAGAAACTACATCGGAACGATCTACCCCTGTTCCACCAGAAGTCATCATTAACCTGCTTGAGAAGCAGGATCTTCCCCAAAGTGTGACACGTCTTGATGATTGCCAACTGCCAGTCGACATTTTGTTACTGACAGTCGAGGATTGTGAATTTCTAAGCTGTCTGTCATATCTGAATCTTGGTTTCTGTAAGACGTTTCACGGAGATCTTGGCTTTGTGTACCTCGGAGATATGGGAAAAGATGAAAGGAAGTTGAACATTGCTGTAATGAGCTGCCACAGGGGTGCCGTCACTCCAGGAGGATCCGTGGTTGCTGTATTAACAGCTGTCAATGTCTTAAGGCCCAAAGCAGTGTTCTGTGTAGGTTCATGTAGGAGCTTAGGCTACGACAAAGTTAAACTTGGAGACGTAGTAATGTTTGAGAAGTTAATCACACCTGGCCCGTGCAGAATCACGGAGGGTGGCATTGAAGAACGCGGTGTGAAAGTCCCACTTAAGTCCCGTCTTTTGAAGGTGATACCAAGGGCTGGTGATGGCTGGAAGCCGCCTTTAAAAGATCCAAAAGCACCCGAGGTCAAGATACACCGTGGCACGATTCTGAGTGGGCCCGTAGAAGTAATTGATAGCCCCAAGCATTGTGAGGCACTCATTGATCGATTTCCAGAAGCAGTTGCTATGGAAGAAGAGGGTGAAGGTGAGTTTTTTGCAAGAGTGAACTTTAATGACCTTGGCCATTAGACCACATTGGGCAGGATGACTCCAAGTCAGTGAATTGAAATAAATGCCCAAATCCTTTAAATTCCTTGCTAGCAGAATACCTTTCAATGAATTATTCTATGAATAGATTAATGAAATGGAAACTACAGGATCGTTCAGACTGGATCACTATATATTTTTTTATTATATGCTCAGTTCATCGGATTGTGCTTATCGATGCCTTGCCCTTACAATCAAGCCAGTTAAATTACGAATTGTCAAATTTTGTTTTAACTATCTTTCACAATCCTTTCCAGCTGCTTTTTCTTGGCCTTTCNGTGGCATTGAAGAACGCGGTGTGAAAGTCCCACTTAAGTCCCGTCTTTTGAAGGTGATACCAAGGGCTGGTGATGGCTGGAAGCCGCCTTTAAAAGATCCAAAAGCACCCGAGGTCAAGATACACCGTGGCACGATTCTGAGTGGGCCCGTAGAAGTAATTGATAGCCCCAAGCATTGTGAGGCACTCATTGATCGATTTCCAGAAGCAGTTGCTATGGAAGAAGAGGGTGAAGGTGAGTTTTTTGCAAGAGTGAACTTTAATGACCTTGGCCATTAGACCACATTGGGCAGGATGACTCCAAGTCAGTGAATTGAAATAAATGCCCAAATCCTTTAAATTCCTTGCTAGCAGAATACCTTTCAATGAATTATTCTATGAATAGATTAATGAAATGGAAACTACAGGATCGTTCAGACTGGATCACTATATATTTTTTTATTATATGCTCAGTTCATCGGATTGTGCTTATCGATGCCTTGCCCTTACAATCAAGCCAGTTAAATTACGAATTGTCAAATTTTGTTTTAACTATCTTTCACAATCCTTTCCAGCTGCTTTTTCTTGGCCTTTCTTACATTTTCTGTGTTTCAGTCATAATTACTTCACTTCTTCATGTATGACTAATCTTTATTGTAGGCGTGTTTGCTGCGGCCCACGGCCTCGACATTGAGTGGATCGTCATTAAAGGGATTTCGGATTACGCAGGTGGCAGTAAATCTATGGAGACGTCTTGGAGGCCATTTGCGAGTTTAATGGCAGCTTCTGTTACGGCTCATATTCTCAGCGATGCCACCATTTTTGAAGACTGGCCTCACTTTAAGAGCACAAGTAAGTACTGAACAGTTAAAAAGCGTCCATTACCTACCAATGCCTGTTTCCTCTTTTACTCTTTATGATCGTTCTCTCCTTGGTCCCACCAGTGAAACTTTTATCCTCTTATTTCTAGCCACTGTAAATCCTAGTTTTTGCAGATGCAAACTGTCGATAAAATGTCGAACAATCCACTTGCAAATCAGTACACTTGTGAATCAAGGTATCTGTCTGTGGTACATTAAGTTAATGTTGTGGTTCCGTACGTAAAATGTCTACATCTGGAATCCATCCTACTCTGTATTGCCAATGGTACTCAATAGTTTTAACTAAGTGGCCATAGTTTCACTTGCTGAAATTTTCAGCCGGTTTGTGATACCCGGCTTGAAATTTCAGCCCCGACTAGAACACTCTTTTACACGGGCACCTGCGTTTAAAACTACTGTAGCTAAAATACTGATAGCTCCGACTCACTGAAACTCTCTTTATGTAATCGAAATCGTCTTTATAAAAGGATTTGTCCCGGAAGCCGAGCCAAAATCTTAGTCTGGCTAACCACAGGTGGCCCAAGCTCGGTGAAATATGACCATCGGCACTGTTGCGTAACGTTCAAAATATAAGGATTTGTATGGGAGAAAAAACAATTGTTTCTGAAGCCTACGAATTGAAAAGGATTTAGATAAAAATTTAAGTTGTGCGTTTCCTCTTTCCTGTGTGGGTTCCGAATCCGAGCCGATTTATGGCCATTTAATAGGTGTTATTTGAACCGGTTTTCGCTCGCTCTCATGGAATCTATTATATTATGACTATTATCTATTATTATTTTACATTCGTAGGCTACAGAAACAATTATTTTTTCTCCCATACAAATCCTTATATTTTGAACGTTACGCAATAGTGCTGATGGTCATATTTCATCGAGCTTGGGCCACCTGTGGGCAAACCAGGATGCATTTTTTTATGTACTCGGCACCTTAAGGTGTAATTGACTTGACAAAACCGTTGATATTTTCCTTTACGAAATGTAGGTGTTGAGAAATCACGTATGAAGAGGGACGCCCAGATACCTTGGGGTAAATATAGACAATAAATTTGTTGTCATTTCTCTGATTCGTTGTTACTTTTTAAAAGCCTGTTAAACAATCCCATTCGTATAGGTAGTGATAGAACAGATATAATTAACTCAGAACTGAAATAAAAATGGAAGTGTTACAGATGACCCACAAGTCCCAGTAGAGGCAAGTAACCACCCGAGGTCAAGAAAAAAATAGTTGAACCTTCGTGGGAATCAAGTCCACTGAGGTTCAAAGATTTTTTCGTTGCCTCGCATGGATCCCAGATTCCCTTTACTAGGGCGAATGCTTGATGGGGTTTGTGGCCTTCTCTAGCACTACCTCTTTTCGATCTTTTGAGAGTTAATTCTTTATTCATACAGCTATTTTAATTAACGTTGTCGTACGCAACAAGACCACAAGGTCATATGCTTTTGGGTAGCTGTAAATCCCTTACAATTTGGAGATAACTTCACGGTTGTCAGCACCACAGAATGATATAAAACCTCAGAAAGGTCTACCTTTGTCGTTTTATGACAAAAGTGTGGTACTTCATGGCTGAGATTTCGCGTATTGGTTCGTGGTCTCGTCGCTTAGGCTTTCCTGGACTATTCGTCCGTAGTGGCCGTCGTAAAAAATTGTGAATTGTGATTTGCTTAGCCACAAAGCACTTTGGCGTTGTTAAAAACTCGTTCAAAAGTGTCCATGCTTTCCATTGAGTGTCGGATTTTAAGGAAAGGGGAAAACCGGAGGAGCTGAAGGAAAACCTCTCGGAGCAAGGGAGAGAACCAACAACAAACCGGCTCAACTCACATATGGCGTCGACACCAGGATTTGAACCCGGGCCACATTACTGGGAGGCGAGTGCTCTCACCACTACGCCACTCTTGCCTCCCCGGTCGTTTTTTCACTGCTGCCTTACTGAAATGAAGTGAACTTACTGAATGGGAAGTTCAAAGGAAACTTTGACCTCACTAGTCATTGTTACTTTAGTAAAAACGTTTTAAGTGCTGTAGTGTTTTCATTTACAATAATAAAGAGACGCGAGAGCAGAAAATTTGTTCTGATTTGAAGAAATAACACAACAGTTTTCAATTTACAAGACATGTTTCAGCAAACTTACGCCATCTTTAGTTGTAGAAGCTCATTACAATTTGAATATCTTCAGTTGCAGAAGTTAGTACAATTTGAATATGCTAATTACAACGATTTCAATGAAAGCTAAATGTGACAGAAGAACAATGAGGACAGAAAAAGAAACAGCATAAATAACAGCTAAGCTACATGGAAAGTGACAGGTTTACTTGTTTCACCTGTTGATTTAGAATAGGTTTCTCCCACTTTATATACATCGCGTCCTTAATCTTTCAGTGGAATCCAGAGACGGCGGTATCAAGGATAGTGAAACATTCCGTGGAACAGGACTCTCTGTAAGCTTGAGATGAAGCAATGTGTTTGTAGACATGAGACGCCTTGTCCGATACAAGGTGCTCACGGACGCCAGTGGAGAAGTGGCAGGTAGTTTCGCCAATGTAACTGGCATTACAACCAGCACAAAGAAACTTATAAATTACCCGTGATCGGAGGCGTTGAGTCACGGAATCTTTCACGTTGAAAAAACGTCCAACTTTAAAAGTGGAAAAAGCTAGCTTGATTTCAATATCTGTGCAATAATAATTCACTAAATGTAAATTTAGTGAATTATTGTTGCACAGATCTTGACAACGAGTTGGTTTAAAGCATGTAGGTTATGTGTACCAGGTAAATATTATATTATATTTTATTCTGCCTATTCTTTTGTCTATAAAGGGAGATGGTTTGATGAAACGAATACCAAGGTAGTGGTTGCTGGACTGCTGGTGTGTCTGATTGCAGTTGTTTTGTTCTCTAAAAGGCGGTGACTCAATAACCCAACCAACCTATACTCGGTACAATGTTAGCCAATAGGTAAGCGTACTGAAATGACAACCAATAAAATAACGAAATTAACGAATTAATCACCTGAATAGACTACGAGTAGCCCCTCGTTTTTCCTACGGATAGTTGAGAAAGTCAAAAACGTAAGCACGTGAAAATCGTCCCCCGTGCATGCGAGATTTTCAGGCACGCTCGTGTATTTCCCACGCTCAACTATCCCTGAGGAAATTGAGCTACTTGTAGTCTATCTCGCGAACAGTAACATAAGACAACTTAGGACCTGTTCGTGTGATGTCTCGGTTAACCAAGATCTTGGGCTCAAATTTGTCCGTTTTATGAGTACTTGAGCCACGCATGCGTCTCTCTTTAGTGGATATTTCCAAGTATTGGTTAATCCTTTCGCCCCTTTATTTGCCGAAAAACGTGTTTTGAAGCTAGTCGAGCCGTTTTCTGGTGAATTTGGTCCAAAGAGAGCCTGAAACGTCGTTTCCAGGTCAAGCACTTCGCGGCGACTGTAGATGCAAAATATCACCCTTTAAAGTTAGGACATGCGCAGAATGCAAAATCTCGTGACACAGCAGTCTCGACCTTTACCTTTCGTTTTGTCTCTTCCCCTCTTTTTTCGCATTTCTTCATCCTTTTTTTTCTCTTTTGCTAGCAATGTACTCACTTTATGTCGGCGGCAACGTTTTTGGAACAGTTTTTAGCATCTTAGGATTAGAGGGAAGGAACTAGAGGTTTGTAGTGGAATAGGGCTTTCATTGGAATTTTCCGGTCAACCTTACATGGCTTTTTTCTTTTTATGCCGGCCTTCTTGACTTAATCGAATCGCACTCATTCTCGCATTCTTTAAGAGATCTTTTCTCCTTGCACAAGTTAGATCACAGAGTTATCATTGGCCTCTCCGACGGTTATGGGCGGGTCAGGGTCGAGTGGGTTTAAGACGTTCAGAACTGCAGCAAAGCAAATGGCGACGGTTTATACTTCCGTGCAGACTATCACGTAAACAATTCCCTGAAATTTCTCACATGAACACAAATCCGAGCTAGCGCGGTTAAATGAGCCAGCCTGGTTAACCGGACCCATATAAACAGGCACATACTTAGTTTTAAGCTCCTAGTGCGATTCAAATACGTGAAGAGTAGGCTCCTCCGTTTCGCAAACGCTCTTTGGCTTGTCACCCAACGAACCTCCCTGACGAACATCTGCTGAAACGAGCGGCGTTCATGCAGACCAGTCAGAGCTCACTTCCAGTTCCTTGAGATGGTCCTTCAAAAATATTGCGTGGCAGAATAGCTACAAAACGACCATACCTGTCTAAACGTGGCATTTTAGCTAACTTAATTGTATGTAATTTGACAAAATGGCCTAACTAAATTAGTTCCGTTACATACTCACGTAAATATTATAATGACCGCGAAAAAAAAAAACCTAACAACAACGAAAAACCTAAGGATTGTCAGATAATATTTGCACATTGTGAGAAAAGATACATGACCTGCAAAAACCTGCCATATTATACATCTAAATTGTATGTTAGTCTACAAAAAGAGCTAACAAAATAAATGCCGTTACCATTTCTCGGAAAAATTAAAAGCTCACAGAAAAAAAAAACCCTAACAACAAAGAAGAACCAAAGGATTGTCAGATAATATTAGGAAGTCAGTTAGTAAACTAAAGAAAAAAGAAAGTATATATATAAAATCGAAGTTACAAGGACGATCACCTTTACGTGCCAACTTCCACTAAGTTTTTCTATAACTCAAAACAGGAAAACCCCCAAAATGAGTGGACATTGAGAAACGGGTGCATCATCAGGTGTCCAAACGATCTCACCGTTGATTTAAAGTTATATTTATTTTGGCTGGGCTTTCTTATTTCAACACACGTCTTGCATTTGAATATCCTGAAGAATCACGAATACTCCAGAATGTTACCTGCATATTTTGTTGTACCTTCAGTATAGCAGTTTTCATATGATTATATTTTTACTTGGCCCGAAGGCTTTGAGGAATAAAACGAAACAAAGGTATTTTTCTACTGAAATAAAATTGTTCCGG